TCCGACCCATAGTGACCCTGTATAGGGTTTCCGAGGGTGTAAATCCTTACGGGAGTAGAAAGCCTCATCTTTCTCCTGGGGAGCGACTGGTAGTTTCGAACCGCTGACCTTAAGGTTCGCAGCCCGATTCGTAACCACTACGCTACCAGAGCTCCTTAATAATGGTAGTAATGTTTCTGAATTCTTTAAACTCCTTCTAAGGGATATATCAAAGAATTCTATATTCCGTTAGAATACTCTGTTACCCTATCATGTCAACTTGGTTAGGTCTTCCTTCCATTTTGTTGACAATAAAGAACTATAAACCACCCATCTGATTTGGAGAAGAATTTAATACCCATCCATTAAGGTCATTTTCTTTCTCAGCACAGACACTAGTTTGAATAATCCCTTTGAATTGTCTGGAAGCTTTTACATTTTGGGATGATGAACCTTAGTAAGGGGTGAGAGTTCTTTCTTTTGTAAGGTGATAAAAGGACAATTCTGAAGGAGGATGATATGTCCTTAGGTGCCCTTTTAATTAGAATAAAGATATTACATATGGCAGTGAAAGATCTAGAAATGGATTTCCTTAAAAAGAAGACTTGGGAACTCTTCATGAACCCTCAAGAATATGACAGTTTGAAGACGACTTCCTGGAAGACAAGGGAAGAACCCGGGCTGGGGTGGCAAGGAGTGGGGGGGGGGGGGGGGCGGGGGAAAGGGGGGGGGGGGAGGGGGGGGAGGGAGCGACAGTATAACTGTGTGAATGGTAGGAGGGAGAGCAGGGACTTTCTGGAACACAAGGTCTAAGAACCTATTTTTGTTCTTGTTAAGTGCCATCGAGTCGGCTCCGAGTCATAGCAAGCCTGTGTAGGGTTTCTGAGACTTTAAATCTTTGTGGAGCCTAAAGCTTCATCTTTATCCCCACAAGAAAAACAATGTTCGAGCCTTGTAATACCTAATTTTGGTGTGGTCCCCAACAAACTCAGTATTTTCCTGGTTTGTGAATAAGTTATAATATGTATATATATAGAATAGATTTAGAAGCATTTTAAATCACAAAAGAAATGAATGTTGTTAAGTGCCTTCCATTGAGTCATATGCCTTGTAAACTTTTCAAGTAAAAGAAGTCAAGAGCAGAGTTTCCGCCTCTCCCACCCACCCTCCCCAGGCCCCTCCTCCCTGCCCCGGCGCCCAACAGGTAGACCCAGTTAGTAGGTGTGGTGTAGAAGCTCGAAGGTCTCTACCATTCCAACCAGAACTCTCCCTATAGGAACACTCACACTTCTCCCCCAGGCCTGGCTCTTCAAAGTGCTGAACCCAAGGGTTCACTACTTTAAATACCTTTGGATCTTGTGACTCCTACTGGTAGGAAAGTAGGAAAGAAAGTGGGTCATTGCCAGTTTATTCCCATATTAAAATTCAAGTATAATTTTGTGCCCACGTAAAAAAAAAAAAAAAAAAAGCCCCCGCTGATTGTTATTCATAAGCACTTAATAAATGCCACTATATGCTGAGCTCTGAGATTGCAGACCCTTCAGCCTTGAGGTTTAGGTTCTTTCCGTAAAGGGCTGCCAAACTCTCTGAGGACCACCTCCTCCAAGCAGTCTTCCCACCCACTGCGGTGGAGCAGCGCCCCAGGCCGGCGCTGAAGGCCAGCGCTGAAGGCCAGCACTGAAGGCCAGCGGGAAGCCAAACGCCCAGCAGGCGCCTGCGCAGAGAGACATTCCGCGTCATTCGGGGCGGGAGGCGGGGGCAGTGGGGAGAAAGCGAAGAGGGGGAAAAGGGCCAAACCCTGAAATTACCCGGATGTGGTCTCCACGCGCGCATGCTCAGTGTGCTCCTACAAGTTGGCAGCAACAACACGGCCCTGGTCGTCGTCGCCGCTGCGGTAACGGAGCGGCTCGGCTGGCGGAGCCCGCGTTCTTGCTAGACACTCTCCTCGGGAGGCCCTTCCCGCCCTCCCCTCGGCTTCGCGGCCGCCCGGGGGGCGGGAGCGGGTGAGGGGAGCCGGCGCCCCGAAAGAGAAGCGCCCCCACCGCTGGGCGGCTCGGGAGCTCGAGCCAGCCGGGCCCGTGCGGGCAGCGGCGCGGTGCAGCTGAGGGCGGTCTGGCCGGGACGCCTTGGGGCGGGGGTCCAGGAGCGACGGGCAGCGGGGGGAGCCACGGGCCCTGCGCCTTCGATAAGGAGCAGCGGTGGGAGAGCGGACTCCCCGCGCCACCACCGGAGCCCAGGTAACCGTGCCATGTCCCCTTATCCTCCACCGGGTGGGCCCGTGCACCCCGCCCGCGTCTCCCCGCCCCAGGGTGGGCTCGACGGCGGGGTGGAGTGCGCCGGGAGGCCAGCGGGGCGGCGCAGAGAATGGGCCCGGCAGGCTCCGCGGCCCCTGCGCAAGTCGGGCTGGGCGGGTCCCAGCCGCGGCCCCTCTCGTCCCTGGAGCTTCCTAGCAGTTTGGTTGGGGATCGAGTTCAATTCGGATGGGGACTCCGCGGGCGCAGCTCCTCTTTGTTGTTGAGCTGTTGAGCAGTTTAACCATCCGCCCCGGCAGAGCGCGGTGGCTGGGCTGGACGTGTGTGAACGGAGAGAAGCTGTAACTCAAAAGTTGTTAATTTCTTCAAAAGAGATTAAAAAAAAATTTTTTTTTTGCTTTGTTCTTCGCTTTCTCTTCCTGGTTGTGTCATTGCAGTTTGCGTTTTTAGTTTTGATTTGTTAACTTTTTGAATATTGTGGACGATGGCGGTGTTCTGCAAAAATTCTCCCACTCCCAATAAAAAATGTCTTCTAATAAAAGTACAAGACATTGCCTATTTTATTGCTAGGACTAAGTGTACAGAACGTGAAGTCAGTTTAGTGTGGCCGTGTCTCCATCACATGCCTCAAATTGCTGTTAGGATTTCTCAAGCTAGATTTTCCAAGAAATTGTTTTGTTTAGTAACTAACTTGAACAGTTTTCCTTGCGGGCATAAGACACTTGAAAAAAACAAAACAACACACACATACCAAAAAAAAAAAAAAAACCTACTGACGATTGGGCGTTAATTTCCTCCCCGAAAACTTTAGTTAACTTTTGTTTTCAGTGTGAAAACATTTATTTCTAATTTTTTTTTTTTTTTTTTAGTTTCCTAAGGTCTTGTTTTTGAATCCGTAGTTTTAAGATGAAACTGCTAGTTATTTAGGATTAATTACAAAATATGGGGAATCATTTTAAGTAGTCCGAATTGGGTTTCTAAAGACATGTATTAGTTGTTGTTAAGTGCAATCAAGTCGGTTCCGACCCATAGTGGCCCTGAACAGGGTTTCCGAGGGTGTAAATCTTTACAGGAGCAGAAAGCCTCCTCACCTTTCTCCCGCGGAGCCACTGGTAGTTTCGAACTGCTGACCTGTCGGTTCGCAGCCTGATTCGTAACACTACGCTACCAGAGCTCCCATAGCGACCCTGTATAGGGTTTTCGAGGAGTAGCTAGTAGTCTTGGCTAATTTTTTTATAACCTTAGACTTTTACCAGAATTAGCATTCTTTACGACTTGACGGCACTTAACAACAATAACAATGTCTCAGTAGCAGCTTGATTATTCGAGTGTTTAAGAAGTAAGTTCAGTACTTTTTGTGGACAGAAAATAGAGTCTTAATAGAGAAAACAGAAATACGTACATTAATAAATGAGATTGAAAACATCCGTTTGAAAAATTTTTTATTGTAGATTTCATAAATTACGTTGCCATGTTCAGTTGAGATAAGTTCTAAAATGTCACTTTTCGCTTTCTGCTAAGGATTTCGTTTCTTTGTTGCTAAGTTTTGAGATAGTACCTGACATTCCAAGTTGTAAATGATTGATGAAGTTAACATTTTAAAGTATGTTTTCTTAACATATGGCTGTCAGGATTTTGTGTCCTTAAAGGTGCTGGTAGTGCAACAGTTTAATAGAGGAGTAGCTTTAGGCCTAAAGGTTGTGATAAATTATGCGGGTTTAAGTTATTGAAGTTAAAACTAAAAGCCTTTCTGGAGAAAATTGATAGAACATTTTGTGAGTGTATTAATAGAAGTGGCTTTTTCTTTGCTTTCCAGGGTTTTGGGTGAGTTTGCTTAAAGAAGTATTTATTGCAGGTTCATTTTTTTTTTTTTTTTTTTAAGTGGGAGTGCCTAAACAGAAGCTTCTCTGTTTAGCTGAGTGGTTTTAGTATACATCTTGAGTTTAGAAACAAAAAAACAAAACCCTGCAAATCTGTTTCAGACTTAATGAAAATTTGTGCTGAGAAAGCCACTTTGAAATTTTTTTGAGTAAGTTTTATATGGATCATTGATTGACCTTTTAGGATGGCTTTGCTGTTGTAGCAATATGTTTATATCACAGAGCAGCAAATCTTGTTTCTAAAAATATATGCTTCAATTTCTTAAACTGTTTTAGTTAAACTGTTTCTTCATTTGTGCATGAATTCCACCCCCACCCCACCCCCCATTTTGTTTCACGGAATTTTTTTTTCCCCTTCTAAGTTAAAGGAGCCAAGTATTAGTTTGTGCTGCTCCGTCATACTCCAGCCCTCCACCACGGAGCTGCTTTTAGTCAGTATTATAGCGCCATTAAGGAGCTCTGGTAGCGCAGCGGTTAAGTCGGGCTGTGAGCCTCAAGGTCAGCAGTTCAAAACTACCAGCTGTTCCGCAGGAGAAAGATGAGGCTTTCTGCTCCCATAAAGATTTACAGCCTCAGAAACCCTGTACAGGGTGGCTATGAGTCGGAACCGACTCCACGGCACATAACAACAACATAGTGCCATCATAACACACCATTCTAGTTGGAATGTGAATTGCTGAGGCTCTACCAGAGCAGTTAACACAACAGCAACCGACCAGTTCATTGGATCTAACATACGTATTTAATCTTGTCTAAAATTTAGCCTGTTGTGAGAACATGCCTCATCTGTCCTATGTTTAAACTTTTACTTCAGTTCTTTCTTCCTTTAGCTCATGTGTAACATTTTCTTCCCCCATTTTTCATTCAGCGCTTCTAGAGTGAGCGGTTCTTTAAGTATTAGTCATTTTAAACCTCAATGTTTAACATATTTGAATTTCCTTTTTGTTCTAGGAGGTTGTGTCACCAAGCACATTTATTTATTGTCTTAGTAATGGCAAAGGTGACTCTGAGGTTAAGCATAATTAAAGCATTTATAAAACTAACCCAACTAAATAGATTTCAGTGTTTTTCACATTAAATGGAAGTTAAAGGAGCTAGACTATAGTAACATAACTTTTAATACAAACTTATTAAATTATCCAATTTTGTACTTTTTGCTCAACAGTTGATGAAGATTTGATTGCTTTAAAAAATGAGAAAATTGAACAAAATGACAAATATCCCTATGTATTTTTAATTTGAGCCACTTTTAGTATGGCACTGTTTACATCATAATATTTTAGCACACAATTGTTAATTTATAATTTTTGAGGGTTTTCCCCCCTCATTCAAAAATGTGGAATTTTGGTGATGGGAAATTTGGCCAAATTCGAGTTTCTCAGAAACAAAATATTTCAGGTTGTGTCACTACTACGTTAGCATCCAGGAGCATTTCTTTAGCCATGAGAATGAATGAATGAAAACCAGTGTCAAAAAACCCAAAACTCATTGCCATCTAGTTGATCCCAACTCTTAATGCTTAAATATGTAACACTTGATGATAGGTAGGTGCTTGTTGTTGTTATGTTGTTATGTGCTGTCGAGTCGGTTCCGACCCATAGCGACCCTGTACAGGGTGCTTAGTTGCCATCAATTCATATTGACCCTGCATAGAGTTTCCACGGATCAGCTAGTGACTTTGAACTGCCAACCTAGAGGTTAGCAGTCCAGTGCTTATTCTATAGCACCACGTAAACCAGATTATTAGCTCTAGTATCATAGTGGTTATGAAACTACCAGCTGTTCTGCGGGAGAAAGATGACGCTTTCTGCTCCTGTAAAGATTTACAGCCTCGGAAACCCTGTACAGGATCGCTATGAGCTGGAATCTACTCCAGAGCACACCACCACCACCACAGTTGTGAATGAACCTCTCTCCCTATGCCTGTATTATTATGTTAAAGATGTTAACATCCACACAAAGTGTATGAATTGTTCCATTTTATGTATAAATTAGATTTGGAGACAGACTTAGGAATGGAATTTGTTAAAAATCCAGGGACTGTCCTAATTTTAAATAGAAATTTTTTTTTTTTTAATAATTGTAAATTGAATGAAGGTTTACATCAGTTTTACATTAAATCAATCATATACTTCATTTTGTTACCCTTCCATGTACCATCAGGTAACAGTATTTACCTCTACCATCTTTATTTTAGCAGTATGTAGCTCTGTTCACTTGATGATTTTTTTCCATTCCTCATAACCATCACAGAATATTTGATTTATCAAGAAAATCTTTTTTACCTTTTTACAACAATGGTCTCATGCAGTATTTGTCCTTTTGTGACTAATTTTAGTCCCCATAATGTCTTCCAGGTTCATCTTTTCTGTGAGGTGCACATTCTTTGTTTTCTTCAACATTGCATAATATTCCATTGTGTATATGTACCAAAATGTAACCATTCTTCTGTTGATGGGCGTTCAGACTGTCTCCATGTTTTTGCTATTGTGAATAGTTCCGCAGTGAGCATGGGTGTGCATGTATCTGTTCGTGTCACAACTCTTCTTTCTTGAGGCTATGTACCAAGTAGAGGTATTGCTGGGTCATACTTTCAACTTTTTGAGAAAGCACCGTACCATTTTCCACAGTGGTCGCACAATTTTACAGTTTCACCAGTAGTGTAGGAGGGTTCCAGTCTCTCCACACCCCACAAGTGTTTATTGTTTTTTGTTTTTTAAAAATTGATATTAATCCTGGACTAAGATGATATAGCTCATTGTTGTTTTGATTTGGTGTTTTAGGATAGGTGCTCTACCCCAAGGTCTATTTGAACAGCAAGGTCGGTGTTCAGACTTACCAACTGCTCCTCTGAAATCCTATACACAGTCTTGCTGAGTTGGAACTGACTTGCCAGCACTTAACAACAACAAAAACGAATGATTGTGAGCATTTCTTCATGTTTGTTGGCTGTTTGAATGTCTTCTTTGGTGACGTGTCCGTTCATATCCTCTGCCCCATTTTTTTTTTTTTAATCCTCTGCTACCCATTTTTTAGGGATTATTTGTCTTCTTGTTGAGGTGTTGAAATATTCCATACATTTTGGAGAGTAGTCCTAGAAGCTGG